GCGATCGATATTTATATTTTTGCGACCGATATTACGGTCGCAAATTAGCGACTGATTAGTAATTCGGTCACTGATGGTATTTAGCGACCGATTTATTATAAATTGGTCGCAAATGAGCGAATTTTTTGTAGTGGCTCTTGCAGTTGCAAGGAAAGGTCTTCCAAGGATTAAGGATCCAGCTTCTCTATCTTCATCAATGTCAAGAATAACAAAATCAACTGAAAAAATAAATTTACCTGTCTTGACGAGCACATCTTCTACAATTCCTCTTGGGTATTTGATTGATCGATCTGCCAACTGTAGAGACATTCTTATTGGATTGATTGATCGAATCTTGCCCATCTTCTACAATTCCTCTTGGGTATTTGATTGATCGATCTGCCAACTGTAGAGACATTCTTATTGGTTTCAGCTCTCCCATCCCTAGCATCTTAAAAACATCATAAGACATAAGATTAATGCTTGCACCTAAATCTACTAAAGCTTTGCAAAATCAAGATTTCCAATATTACAAGTGATAGAAAAACTTCTTGGATCTTTTAACTTTGGAGGCAATTTATTTTGAATGATAGCACTACACTCCTTTAATAACATTACCGTTCCTTAATCATCGATCTTCCTCTTCTTGCTTAGGATCTCCTTCAAGAATTTTGCATAACTGGGCATTTGAGCAAGGGCGTCAGCAAAAGGTATGTTTATTTGAAGTTTTTTGAAGACATCAAGAAATTTGAGGAAACTCTTATCATTTTGTGATTTGTTTGAGCCTTTGTGGGAAAGGAACAAGTGGGACATAAGGCTTTACGTCCTCTTTCTCTACTAGGTCAATGATGGGGATCTTTTTTGCTCCTCTTTTTCGATCTCCTTCTTAGGCGGATCCTCCAATTGTTTGCCACCCTCAAAGTGATAGCTTGTACCTATTCTTTGGGATTCCTTTCAGTGTTACTAGGTAACGTACCTTGAGGTCTAGAGGCCATCATGTTAGCAAAATGCCCTAGTTGAATCTCTAAGTTCCTTATTGCAGCTTGTTGGATTTTGTTTTTTTCTCGAGTTTCATTCATGAAGTCCATGTGAGATTTGGAGAGAGCAGTGAGAAGATCATCATGAGTCTTTTGCTCTTGAGAAGGAAAACCTGGTGCTGCATTCAAAGCATTGTTTGGATTCCCATAAGAAAGATTAGGATGATTCCTTAACCTATTATCATAAGAGTTAGAATACGGGTAATTCTTCTTTCCTTGATTCATCGCATAGTTGAATTACTCCAAAGTTTGTGGATTTAAAAATCCAACATGCATTCTCCAATTCCATGCTGCCCATTACACTTGTCACATGCTAGCACAATAGAATTAACAGAGTTAGTAGTCAATAAGTCTAGCTTCCTTACCATATTATCTACCTTGGCATTAAGTGTGGTAATGACATCAATCTCATAAACTCTTGCAGGCTTCTTCCTTTTAGAACTATTTTTATAATGGTTGTTGCTTGCCATCTCTTCTATCAAGTCATATGTCTCATCAATTTCCTTTCTTTCAAAAGATCCACCAGCAGCTGCATCTAGAGTAATCAATTTCCTTTCTTTCAAAAAAGATCCACAGACAATGCTGCATTACGAGTAATTTTGTGTTGGAGCAGAATAATGCATTATAAAAATTTGCTACCTCGTACCACTTGGGCCCACCAGCAGCTGCATCTAGAGTAATTTTTGTGTTGAGAGATAATGCATTATAAAAAATTTGTACCTGTAACCACTTGGGCAAGCTGTGATGTGGGCACTTCCTCAATAAGTCCTTGAATCTCTCCCAAGCTTCATACAAACTCTCTCGATCATGGTGTGCAAATGTCATTATCTCATTGCGGAGCTTTGTGGTATTTGAAGATGGAAAAAATTTTGCCAAAAATTTCTGGACTAATTCCTCCCATGTTGTAAAACTTCCAGCAGGGCATGATTGTAACTAGGACCGTGCCTTATCCCTTAGAGTGAAAGGAAATAGTCTCAATTTCATGGCATCCTCAAAAACTCCGTTTTGTTTGAATGTATCTCAAATCTTTAAGAAATTTGTGATATGGGCATTAGGATCCTCATTGGGTAAACCTTCATATTGAATTGAGGTGGAAAACATTTGAATAATAGCAGGTTTAATCTCAAAATTGTTAGCTTTCACCCTAGGCCTAATGATACTTGAGGTTGCTCCATTGAGAGAAGGAGTTGTGTAATCTCGCAAGGTGCGGACATGAGGTTGAGTTCCGTCCTCTGTGTTGATTTCATCAGCCATATTCGCTTGCTGTTCTTGTTTGCTCTCACGTGCTCTTCTAGCAGCGTTGTTCCTACGATAAGTCTTTTCAATTTCTGGATCAAAGATTAAGGGCACAGTTCTACTTGATCCTCTTTGTATAAACACCTGAAATAATCTTTTAAAAAATAAAAATAAATGTCTAAATTAATAATAGGGTAATTAGTATTGAAATTGGTAATGCCAATCCCCGGCAACAACGCTAAAAACTTGACAGTCCTTTTTCGCAAGTGTACAAAATCGCGACAACTAATAAAGAATGAGTAAAGAATCGTTTCCACGACGATTGTATACCAAGTACTAAAATTATGTTAACTTACTATTATTTAAACAGCAATCAGGGAAATTATTTTAATAAATAAACTTCAACAAATAAAAGAGAATAAAAAGAACTTAAACAAGGCAATTTCTGATAAAAGAAATCAAGGATTAAAAGCTACTAGGGATTTTGACTTCACTTAATTCTATCCATTAATTCTATCCAATTTATTTTATTAGTTCATAAATCAATTTTAATTATTCAAGTAGGGGAAATAACCCTAAAATCGCTAATAAGCTCTCTCGATGTATTGTTAGCTATTTTAACCTGGTCTAATTACCTATCTTCCAAAAGCGCAATCAAACATGAATTAAATCATTAAGTTTTATAGTTTATTTATGAATTCATAACCTAAGGTTGTTAACTTATGAAAAACCCCATGAGTCAAACCATATAGCTTCCGCATCAAGTTATTATTCTCATGTAATTTATTACCTTTTTATATCAAACACCCTTCTCCCGATAGTGCTCCCGATAATTGGATTAATGAAATAAATCAATATAGGAGAGAAAGCTTACCTGGAAGCATTGAGATTCAAATAATTAATTTTACTTTGGGAACCAAAGAAAACAAATCTAATACTTATATTGGAAAAGAAATTAGCTACATCAAATCCTAGTAGGAGAATTTAGTTCGATATAGTAATTAAATAAACCCAATTAAACTTGAAAATATTCCCCTTGAAAATAATTCCATAATCAATGTGAATGATGAAAAGTAAAAACAAAATTAAGAGTTTAGAGATAAAAACTAGTCAACAAATAACGTAGACTACTTCCTTGAATCTTGATACAAATCTTGATCACTTGAAGTTTTAGAGAGAGAGAAGAATAATAGAACAAAAATATGGTAGAACCAGATTCCTCTACAATGAATGGGTTCTCTCTTTTTATAGACTTCTTGGGAAAAAACTTCGACTTCGTTTAGGAAATAGAGTCTTTATTGAGTAGGAAATCTCTTGGAGATAGAAGACTGTTTAGGCTTTTAATTTTTTTTCAATTAAGACTCTCCCATGCGTCTAAATAGGATTTGAACTTGATTGGCACGTTAGGAAAGTATCTCATGTGGGTCCATGCAAGTGGAAGAGACTAGGTTGATGTTTTTGACTCAAAACAGAACTTGATTTTCGGCACGGGCATGCCATTTAGCACGGGCTGGGCGTGCTGGAGTCTGAGTTCTAAGGCGATCGCAACACGAGTTGTGCTCAGGTGAGCACGCTCTGAGATAAATTTGTGGCATGGGCGTACTGGTACGCACGGTTGGGGCGTGCTAGGCTCTAAGTTACCAAGATGGATGCAGCACGAGCCGTGCTTAGATGAGCATGCCTTTGGATCATATCATTCTGTGGCACGGGCGTGCCATATAGCACGGCCTGGGCTTGCTGGACTCTGAGTCTCCAAGCGGATTTTTCCTTGAATCCTGCACGGGCGTACTAACTTCTGAGTGTTTTGCTTAATTTGCTCTTTTTTGCATCAAAATCCTACAAATTTCTTCAAGATCGAGTGAATTATGTTTCAAGGAAGCTTTGAACAAAAATATAACTAAAACCGGTTTCAAGGAAGCTTTGAACAAAAATATAACTAAAACCGAATAAAAACTAACAAAAGTGATTAAAACTACTAAAAATCCTAATAAAAACTATATAAAAATATTATAAAAATAACACTTATCAAGATCATTTAATTGATTTGAATAACAAAATAATTTCTCTAAATCTTTTGTATTTAGATTGTTTTTTCAAGAACTTGTTGCATATGATGTTCACATATGAAATCCTGGGCAATAGCATCAATAGAAGAACATGTCACTATGGGTTTCCATAAATTGAAATTCACATATGAAAATTATATGATCTAAATTCTCCAACCAAATAAGTCAAATGTCATATCTTTATTTAGTAACAAACTATTATAAAGAAGGGACCAAACCTTATGGAAGAAGGGAGAAAAACTTCAAACTTAGAAACAAAGCAAGAATAATAATAAATAAAAAAAGGGATCTGATATGGAAAAATATATCTGATTTTATTAAAAATGAATAAAAGGTTAGTAGGGAAAGAAAAGCGGAAGGTAGAAGGTTGTCGTTGACAAATATATATATATATATATAAGCATTTTTTCCCAAGAAGTTGATTTGTTGCATAATCTTTCTGTAAGACTCCACTTGACATGTTTTTCCAAGAAATGACATGTGACATTTTTTTAAGTGCCTCCACTTAGTATGTATTGCAATTAATTAATTAAATGCAAATTCATAAAAGTCAAGACGTAATAATCAATAATACAATAAACAATAATCATTTGATTAAATAAACGATGAAATGAAAAATAATTCAGCGGATGATGAACAAGTTCTTTTGGGGTAATAATTCATCGACAAGCAAAGGAATAATATGGTGCAGGGTGGGTTTAATTTTCGAAGACTTTATGATTTTAATTCGGCTCTACTAGGGAAGCAGTTTGGAGATTGCTCACTTTTCCGAATTCCTTAATCTCCAAAATGTTCAAAGCCCGTTATTTCCCCGTTGTTCTTTACTGGATGCAGGTATTGGCTCTAACCCCAGTTGTGTTTGGGGCAGCATTCATGGAGCTATCCCTCTTATTAAATCAAAGATTGTTAAAAAAGTGGGCAATGTTGACTCTATCTCGATTTGGGATGATGCCTGGCTTCTTGATGTAGATATCCCGAAGGTAGTTTCTGCTAAGCCGTCTTTTTGTGAGTATAACTATGTTTATTCTCTCATTTCAGAGTCTGGTAATTGTAGGAAGAGGGATGTGTTATCCAGTTTGTTTGGGCATCGTGATATTCAATGCATCCTATCTATAACTTTGAGTGCGAATTGCTAGGAGGATTGTTGGCTTTGGTTAGAGGATAAAAGTGGTTTGTGTACTGTCAGGAGCGCTTACAAATTTCTGCCAATGGTTGTTTTAAATCCTCCAACTGATAATGTGGGTTTCTTTTAGAATATCTTGTGGGAATTGAATATTCCTCCAAAAATCAAAAATTTGCTATGGAGGAGGCCAATGATTGCATCCCAATTAGATCTCGTTTTCAGGCTAGACGTTTAGAGGTGACAGATTCATGTCCTGTTTGTGGTCTCCCTGCTGAGTTCCTTCTGCATCTGTTAGTTGATTGTTCTTTCGCAAGGGATTGTTGGTCTTGTTCTGTACCAGGTGTGGTGGATATAGTTGATCTTCAAATGGATGTCTCTTTTCAAGATTGGCTCCTTAATACTGTCCGGGTCTTGACAGCTTCTTACTTGGAATTTTTTTTCTTAGTCACGTGGATAATTTGGCGAAACAGGAATCAGGTGCTCTGGACTTGGGTGCGCTCATCTATTCATCATCTTCTCAGTTCATCGAAGGATTGGTTCATGGCGTGGCAAGCTGCACAGCTTCGTCGATCTTCACAGGTTAAGCATGGCCCCCATGTTTCAACGGTTTGGTCTTTACCATCTGCTGGTTACTTCAAGTGCAACTTTGATGCAGCTTTGCGTCCCAATAGTTCACAGATGGGTGCGGGTTGGGTGTTGCGTGATGCTGATGGCCTACTCCTACACACATGTCAAGTTCTGATTCGAGGTTCCTACTGTCCTCAAGTGGCGGAGACGCTGTCATTCAGGGAAGCCCTCAACTGGATAAAGGGTAAATCCTGTGCTAATGTGGTCTTTGAATCGGATTCACAGCTTTTAGTGCAGGCTAAGCAAAGAAGGGCTGTTGAAAATTCTTATTTTATGAGCATTGTCTTAGACTGTAGATTGCTTTACAAGAACTAGAAAATAGTTCTATTTGTTTTGTCAAAAAATCAGCGAATATAATTGCTCACTTGTTAACAACGAATGCCTATTCTACGTCTGGTCAAAATAAGTGGGATCATGTCTTTCCTAATTATCTTGTTCATGTTTTATATGTTGATTTAATGCTATAATTCCAGTATTCCCTTACGAAAAAAATAAATGATTAAATAAATAATTAGTTCAATAAAAATTTTTCCATTAAATGAAATAGTCATCATAACCGTAAATTTTTATTTGACTATATAAATAAATAGAACTACCAAAATAGATAGAATTAATTAATAGAATATTTTATTTTGTAATCTTATTATCGTATATTTTTTAAATGTTTTAATATTATAATCACAATTTACAAATAGAATATTTTATTTTGTAATCTTATTATCGTATATTTTTTAAATGTTTTAATATTATAATCACAATTTACAAAATATTATCTACATTTGTTAAATTTGAACATTGGAAATCTTAAAATTATTTATCTAAATATCAATTATATAAATATTAAAAATATTTTAACAAAAAGTGAGAAAAAAAGTTTAAAAACTAAATATTTATTAAAATATTATTTATTATTAATATCATCTTGTCTCTCTTTATTTATTGTCATGTGAATTGTAACCGTTATTTTCAATTAATTCTCATTAAAATATTTTTATTAGTGTAGCTATTAGATTGCCATTTATTATTTCTATCATGATATTCTTACCATTTAAAATAAAAAATTTTAATATCATAAATTTTGAATATTACAAGTTTTCAAATAAGTTATACGAATATTAGAAAATAATTTTACTAAAAAGTGAAATATTAAAATATAAATTAAATGTTAATAATTAATATTTATTAAAATTATGCATTACACAAGCATATGGCTTGTTAAATTAGATGACTAGAGAGAAAAATAGAGAAAATCACAAGTTTGTTGCAACAGAGGTAACCAAAAATCTATTAATAAATTATATAAATATAATAAATATTATTTATTATTAGTTTTTCTTAAAGAAAATTAGTAATTATTGCCAAATAATATAATATGAGTAAATCATAATATTCATACAGAATTAAGCAATACAAATAGAGAAAATTAAAATTTATGATCTTTGTCGAATGTAATACCCTCAACTTGATATCTCTGAAAATTCTAATTATTGTGTTAATTAATATTATCTGGAAAGCTAGAATAATTAGAATTACCTTAGTTTGAATATATAGAACTATTAATTAGAAGTTATAATGCAAATTAAATATAAGTTATGTCATGAGAATCAAATTGGGAGAAAGTTAAATGAGCTTAAACTTTGACGATGAAAAGCTAGTACGTGAAGCTCCTTAAGCTAGCACTTTGATTTATCATTTAATGGATTGATTATTAAATTAAAGCAAATTAAGCTAAGACATATGATTAAGGTTTAGTTAGGACTAAATTAAAGTAATCAAAAACATTTAGGTGCAATTGTATGAAAAGAGAAACAAACGAAGGATTAAGGTGTTAAAAGGCAACTAAAGGATATGGAAGGAATTATCATGAATGTCTTTGGTTGCCACCTATTTATGATGAGTCATAAGGCACCTCTTGCTCATTTTTGGTCATCCATGGTCGAGGTCCATGAAAAGAGAGAGAGAAAACTCTTAAGAACAAGCTAAAGATGCATAAAAACTTAGGAATTTTCAAGTGATTCATAAGGAAAGCTTAGTTGTTTTCTCTTCCTCTTTCTTTTTCATGGTTTAATTTTTGATTTAAATGAACTATAGTAGGAGCTACTTGCTTATTGTTGTTGACTTGGTGAGAATGAAGTGATTAAAAGTACTTCTAAGATGATTTAAAGTGGTTGAGGATGGTTAAGCATGAATTTGATGTTAAGTTTGCATAGTTGAACAAATTGGATGATTTTAAGAATTTGATTATGTAACACCCACCGCCCAATCCCGAGAGACCTGACGGCAGATGCCACATTCGGTACCGGAGACACCGTCCTAACCTACATATAAATCATACAATCATATTATGAATTAGAAGTGACTTAGTATTCACATGTTTAGCAAGTAATAATATCTTTTTTTTTTTTTGAAAATAATTTGGGAGAATCCTACAGAAAAATTGCAAGAGTTCCTCTAAAAATAGAAGTCGCCAAACATGTGAATTACAGAAATAATTGCAAGAGTTCCCTCTAAAAATAGATGTGAATACAAAAACACTCCCAAATTCAAACTCCAAACCCCCATCAAACTCCAATAACAACACAACAACACTTCTATAATTTCATAACTACACAATTCCTTAATAACATTTTAATATTCATCAATTAAATACATTCATTTAAATATATCAACTTCTAATGTTCTAATCATTAACTAAGTTCCAAGTTTATCTCCCAATATAGAGACCAAAATAATTTACAATAACATGCTTAAGTCATAAATTAAATATTATAGTCTACAAAAATATAATACTACATGCCATAATTTCATAGTTACATAAAACACTAATCAACTACCAAAATATCTCTTCAGCTCTGATGCTACTCTTCTGTTCTTCAAGCAACAAACACAGACTCCAACCTGCGCGTGATAAAGCGCGTGATAAAATCAACGCGCTGAGTATAAAACTCAGTGGTGCTCATAAAACACAACAAACCAATGTTGTGATGACAACATACTTAAAACATAAACTTCATAAAATCATTTATATACATAAAATCATTAACTTTTAACATGCATTGACATATATACACCAACACATCATGGTTTAGAAATTCATTTGATATCATAAATAAGTTATTGTAAACTAAGATTTAGTAAAATAATGTGATCTCATTTATTTCATTTCCTTAAAAATATTTTACAAGGGTTCACATACACTTAGGAGAAAAAGAAGCAGATAAGTTTTCATAGCTTGTTTTCATAGGCTTATTCATAATGGGCCTTAAGTGCCAACTTTATCATAAAATATAGAGCACAATCTGCCCCTAGATATAAGACAGCACCACGTCCTAGCATATGATCATAATTCTTAATCATAATGAGCATCCAAATGCCAAGCATGCTCATCTTACAATAATAAATCAATATTATCATGCAACAAATTCACACCAAGTATAATGAGCCCGAAATTCTTGTTTTTAATTCTTAATTATAACATTTCTCATAAAATTCATTTTCTTTAGTCTCTTTAAAATCATAATGAAAACTTATTTTAAACTTAAGAAATTTATGAAGTTTCCATACTTAGGCACAAATACTTATCATAGGACAAAAGTTCTTTTAGACTCATTTTCTTTTAAAGTCATCATAAGATTTATTATGATAAAAATCTTAGCAATTAAATCATATTTTCCTTGTGCAATTCAAAGCACATATACTTAAAAACACCCATTTCTCATAAACCTTAAAACATAGGAAATTTCTAGCATTAAAGTAACCTTGACCTTTGCTGTGTTTTTAAAACATAACTTGAGGTATAGGTCTCTAAATTGAATGAAATTAGATTCATTAGAAAGCTAAGACAAAATACTACAAATGTTATGAAGGGACTACATCCCAGACCAATATGTAAGAGAGTAAAAAAAAAGCTAGGAACATAGACCAATAGTCCAATAATAGGAACATAGACCAATAGTCCAGACCTGATTCAGCATAACCAAGTCCAATGTTTATTGAATTCCTAGTTAACCAAACACTCAAATTAAACCAATTCAAAACCCGAGAAGTCTCAAGACATAGAGAAACAGCTTTCATGAAGAACTTAGAACATAATCTTATCATTATAGTGGTCAAAATGGGCACTCAATTTAGTGATGCATGTGGCCCGACATAATAAAGTCAGTTTTGGTGTTTGAGCAATTAAGTAGAGCTATATATATCCAAATTGGACACAAGAGGATGGGTTGGAAAGCTAAGAATTAGAAGTAAAACTTTTGTGAAGGACTCAGACACAAATGGGAAATAGAAAGGATCGAAAAATAGTCCTTAATCTCACTCAATGACAATTTTCCCAAATTCAGCTTACTTTAACCATGAAAAGAACATGAAAGACAAAAGATACAAGGTAGATGAATTTCTACCACATACTAAAAACTCATCAAAAAAACATCACCCAAGGCATGTTATTGCTAAACCAAAGTCAAACAATAAATCATTTTCATCCAAAATCCCAAATATACCACATGAGAGCAAAAATACACAAAATCAAAATTAAGAAAGGTAAGTGTGTTAGAAACTAACCTTTCAAAACCAGCTTTGTAAGCTTTAATTAAAGCTCCTTAAGCTTTGGTCTTGCCCTTATCTTTGGTAGAAGGCTCTCCACCCTCTACATGTAAGAAACTCAAAATCAAAACAAAGAAAAAAAAAAAGAAATTGGAGCATGATTAAGCATGTATATGCTAAAAGAAAACTGTAAACCCAAAAATAATGAAATTATCATAAATCACTTACTTGATCCATGTAGAAAAATCACCAAATTCCTTGAAATTTGTCACAAAATATCACTTCTCTAGCTTACTTCTCTAGGATTTATAACTTAAATCAAGTTAGGTGGGTTAATTTTGGTGGATTTAGCTAAGTAGAAAGTGAAGGAAACAAAGAGAAGGAGGAGGAGAAGAACATGCCTAATATGAAGAAGAAAAAGAGAAATGGTTGCTCAAATAATTGGGGTTGACTTTTATAAAGCAACTAAGGGTGTTTTGGTCTTTTCTCAAAATTTAATGGCTAGGATTAAGTCAATAGTAATCTAATCTAATGGCTACAAATATTCTCCAATTAAATTACTTCAAATATTATTTATCTCCATAAAACTCTCTCCTTTACTCCATAAAAATAATTTCTCAAATTTCCTTAATTAATATAACACCATAACTCACTATTCACTAATTATCTAAATTCTCCAAAAATATTCATTACTTACTTCCATGTGCACACGTAATCTCACTAATTATCTAAATTCTCCAAAAATATTCATTACTTACTTCACTACCATAAAA